GGGGGCCACGCAGCCAGAGCATCGTGGGGAAACAGATGAAGAATAACAGGAAGGAACGAAGGAATTGGAGAAGGGAGGGGAGAGGAAACGCCACGGGCCTCTGCTGGGAAAAACAAAACCTTTGCATTTCAGCACGGGGCAGAGCCCAGGAGCAGAGGAGTAAGAAGGAGGCGGGGGGGGTGGTGGGGGTCAGGGCATCATGACTCAAAACCTTTCCTGTACCCAACGTCGGCTCCAGCCTGCCAAGCAAAACTTGCTGGCGAGGCGTTCTGGCCCCCGCGCAGCTGGGAAAAGCACGACGGGCCGGGGATGGTGTATAAATAGGGCGAGTTAAAGGGTTATCGGGAGATCACGCTCCAGACGAGCCCAGACAGCAGAAACACGCAGCCCAGCATTCTTGCCCGTGCCCACCTCCCCGCCCCCGGCCTTTGCCGGGACTATTTTTGGGTTGCTCATGGCAACTTGGCGTGACCGTGAGGAAAGGTTCCTTCCAGGAGGGTCTTAATGAGGGCTTGGCCTTCTGTTCGTTAGCCCGCAGGGGATCTCCCACCAGGGCATAAGCTCGGCCCGAGCCCGCCCGCCGTGACGCCGCCCGGTGCTTTGCGTCTCCCCACCAGCACGAAGCCCCTCCCTGCCAATTAGGTTTATTATTGATAATTATTATCACTGATTGGCCACGGCGGGGCTTTTTGCTGCCACTCAAGTGGGATCCGAGCAAACCCGGGGAAATCTCAGCAGCCAGAAAAAGCAGCAGCCGGGATTCAGCCTCCCGACAGCGCAGCTCCTCAAGGGAAAACGAATCTCAGGGGTTTTGGGGCTCCTCTTTGCAAAGCCCGACGGCTCGCTTAAGAATGGGGGCAAAGGAGGAGAGAACGAGCAGAGTGCTTCCCCCCTGGACGGGCTTAAACCTCCTGGGAGCGGGGAAAACCGCTCGAGGAAGGTGCTGCCTCCCACCCCGGCCCCTCCTTACCTGGAATGAGTCGATGACAGCTACAATCATGTTCAGCAGCTCACCGCTTCGCAGGGTCTCATCTGGGAACTGCAAGGGTGTAAAACCAAGGCAGCGCTCAGGAAGGGACACGAGGGAGAGGCCAGGCAAGAGCTCCTGTCCCCAGAGCTGAGGCAAAACTCCTCCTCGGCCCAGGCTCACGCACACACGTCGCTCCTCACGCTGCCCTGACCCGGCGGCTCGCCTGGGGCTTCCCAAGCACAACGGGGGAAAGGAAAAGGAGCCAGAAAAACCTGCAGGAGGGCTGAGGGGCTGTTTTCTGTGCACAGCCCGGAGCGGGCAGGTTCATTCACCGCTCGAGCGGGCCCGGGGCTGCGGGAGGGGGGAGGCTGCTGCGAGCCAGCGCCCGGCACATCTGTGAGACGCAGCTGACACCGACCATCTGGAGCGAGCGGGGCTGCGCGAGGAGCGAGGCTGCTGCTTCCACTGCCAGGGGCAGAAGTCAGCCAGACCAGAGCGGTTAAAATTCTCCGGTTTTTCCCCCCCCACTCTCCTCGCTAGCTTCGCTCGCTGTTCCAGGGCCTCACGCGTTACGCAGCACTGCGAGGAATTAAAATTAAAAAAAACCCAACGAACGTACGGGGCAAAAGGCCGGGAAAATTGGCGGCAGCGAGCTACAGCTGCACCGTTTGGATCTGGCTGTTCAGACAGGCTGCTGTCAGGACATTCTGCCTGACTCGAGCTGGTCACTACACCCACGGGGGCAGCAACAGTCTGACCCCCTGCTTTAGGGGGGGAAGGCTGTTAAACCTCACCAGGGAGGGGATCCAGCGGCTGCTCTCCACCAGGGCCCCCCCGGAGGACGCGCTGTGCTGCTGCGTGGCACGGTGCCTGCTCTTGTGCAGGTTTTCCCCCCTCCCCAGGCCGCTGCTGTGCTGCTTTCCCCCAAAGAAACCCTCGGGAAGCGCTCGTGAGGAACGGGGCTCGACGGCCTCAACGCCCAGCAAATGTTCCTGCTGAACCAGCCAGAAAGGAGGGAGGAGCGGGGCCAGCTCATTCCTCCCAGGGAATGAGAAAGTACACGCAGAACCGTGACCCCTCCGTCTATTTAGATGTTACCCTCCCTCTCTCCAACCCCCAGCACTGCTCCCTGAAGCTGGGCGATCGCTGGATGCTTCTTGGAAGCAGCCTCCACCCCACAAACGTTTCAAATAAAAAGCTGCAGCCCGCGAGGGCTCGACAGCATCCCGGCAGCAGCAGCTCTGCCCAAGATCCAGCCAGGCTGCGTGAACTGGGACCAAACTGGGACCTATCTGGGGCAGATCCCTGGCTCCCTGATCCAGATGTGCTCTCTGCTAAGTCCAGCTGGCTCCACCTCAGCAGCGAGTGCTGAAAGCAATAAAACCTTTCATTAAACCCAAGGGTTCGGGGCAGGCAGAACTCGTCCCGAGCGCCGCTTCCCCCGGACTTTGACACGTCTGCTTGGAGCCTTCACCTGCTGCTCTCCAGAAGAGCAGCACAGAGCAAAACTTTTTCTAGGTTTTACGGCTTCTCTGCTGCAGGGTAACAGCCCTTGGAGCTCAGAAATGAACCAGTGCCCCCAGGAAGGTAAGGAGGGGGGGGGACGGGGACCCCTGCGCATCTGAACTGGGGTTCCCGGTGCCTGGCAGGGGCTTTACCTCTGTGTAAATGGAGGGGGTGAGGTAGCAGAGCAGCCGTACGTCGTCCTCCTGGCAGGCCTTCATGTCCATCATCAGACACGTGTGCAGGTCCCCCAGCTGCGTGGCCTGGGCGAAGGACTCGTAGAGGTTCATCTTCCCCGCCGCAGCTTTGCTAGAGGGAGACGTGCCCAGGTGAGCGCGGAGGGGTGGTGGTAAGACCCTGAGCCATCTCTTGGAGGCAGCGGGAGGCCAAGTGGAAGCTTGGATGCTTCCTGCAACCCTGCCCACGGGCCTACCTGGCTTTTAAATAGTACAGGAGGTGGTAGCCGATCTTGGGTTGCTTCTGGTAGAGTTCTGACAGGAGATCCAGCAGCAGCGAGAAACCACTATTATCCTCCTGCATCTGGCAGAGGTTCCTTGAGGAGCACAGGACAGGGAGACGTCACAAGGGACCCCCTGCACGAGCTTCTCTGCTACCACCAAGGCCCAGCAGCTCGCAGGGAAGCCCAGCTCCCAGTACCAAGCATGCTCCAGACTGGACACTGGGGCCACAGGTCTCCCAGCCCTGCTGCAAAGAACAGCCCGTGCAGCAAAGGCGGGGTGAGGACCAAGCAAACTTCTGTTGTCCAGGGATTCCAGGCTTCCACAAAGGACCAAACAAGCTGCTATTTTCTTATATTTTAAGTCTTTCTGCTGAACAAAATGCAACACAGGCAGAAGGAAGCAATAAACTCTTCTGATCCTGGGATCAGCCCTGGGGCGTGGCAGAATTAGGCCCCCAGGGTTCAGCCATAGTGGTGGGTCAGGAAGCAAACAAAGGCCTAAACTCGATTACGGAAAAAATTACTCAGAGCAGACCTACCTAAATATTAGGTAGAGAGGCTTCCCCACTGACTCCTCCAGAGACCTGCAGGACAAACGCAACAGTCAGAGCTCTACGGGTGCCCACCCTCCACGTTTCCCCAGAAATGGCAGGGAAAAAGCCCTGGCTCTTGCTCGCCGTGGTGCTCAGGCCACCGAGGGTTAGTCCTGGCTAACGGGGAGACAGAAGTCCTGCTGCCAGAGCCCAGCATCTCCCACTCTGAGCCCTGTTCCAACAAAACCCCGGAGGCAGAGCGTACGGTGCTGGTTCGTGCGGGTACAGCAGGGACAGATGGAGCGTTTAGGGACCTTGTTGTGTCCTGGTCAGCAGCAGCCACGAGGGCATTGACTAAACCGAGCTCTGACACGAGGATCTGGGGCAGCAGGTTGTCCTGGCACTTGTGGGGAGGAGGAAGATGTTTCTCTTTCGAGCCCTGGATATGACAAGCCGACCAGCGCCACGCTGACCGCGGTGAACCCTGGATTGCTTCGCAGGGGAAGCTGCTGGCTGCAGCACAGCTTTCTGAGAACGGTGCATATTTTACTGGGAAAAACCCAAGGCCCAGTGTGAAAGGATGAGACACAAAATAGAGCCTTACTCCTCTGTGATTTCTTCTGGCAAAACCTCACCACGGAAGTGAGCCTTAAATAGCTCCTGGAGGCAGGATGCGAGCACTGATAACTGCTCCGAGTCGAAGTCCTCCTGGCAGAGAGAGAAAGGAAGGAATGAGGGGAGAAAGCGCCAGCTCAAGCCCTGCCTGCCCAGCACAGGTACAGCTGGGAGGGACACAGCAGAGTCACTGCTGTGGGGAACAGACCCCGGGCTGCTCAGTTTTGCTGCTATTGCAGCACCAGGAGCTGCTCATCAGCAAGACAAGCCCCTAACTGATGCCCAGCCCTGAAGCATTTCACAGTCACCGTGGGCCACTTGTCCTCTAGTGGCCAGTGATTCCCTGAGCTCAGCTCTCCCTCTGCAAAGGACTAACAGGGACTGAAGGCAATGAGGCTTTACACCCTGAGAAGCCCTTTCCCACGGAGGGAGGAGCTGCTCTCATGTGCTAAAAGGCCACTTGACTAAAGGGAGCTGATAGAGGCAGGGGATGAACGCTCAGCTCCTGGAAAACATCTGCAGTTCTGCTGCTGGGCAGGGCTTGCTGCGGCCTCTCCCGAGCACAAAGCCCAGGGCCAAAAGCATCCCAGACACACGGCACATGCAGAAGCCCCTCGGAGCTCTGCAGACACGAGCAGAGCAGCCGCGTGGGGTCGAAACGTGAGCGTGTCGTGTCCCCCACCCCCCCAGCAGCTCCTGGGGACGTTTGGGCACGAGGAAACAGAGCACGGACGGAGCGATCCTGCCCTGCTCGGCCCTTCCAGCCAGCAGCAGCCCGGGGCTGTGTTTAACAAGCCCGGAGAGAGCTGCACAGCAGCGTTTTGCACTCCTTTAGGATTCCAGTGTCCCTCCCTGTTCAGTCGTGGCTCTTGGGGCAGCCGCGCTGGTTTAAGAATTAGGCCGGAGTGCTGGTCCCAGCTCTGGGCAGTTACCTCCAGGACTTGATCCACGATTTCCTGCATGACCTCACACTGAGCTTCCGTATCGCTGGAGCACAAAAACAAGAGGAAATCCAAGTTACATAGGAAGATACCGAGAGCGGGGACAAGGGGGCTTTGTGCTGAGTTGGTTTTGCTCGGGACCCCCCCTCAGGACCTGAGAAAGGGGACAGGGGGGGGGACGACACTCTGCTTAGTGCTGGTGCCAGGCTTAGAGGAAGGCATGGTTCAGAAGCACACACCGCAGAGACCCAGCCCTGGAAAAACGTGCTGCACTGCTGCAGCACCTACTTACAAAAGTGCCCGAGGTTGTCTGCAGCAAGACAAACAAATTAAATGACTAAAAGCATAAGATTAAATGCACTTAAAGCCATAAAGACATAAATTACGTTAAATCAGTCTGCTACGCCAAGGTCTGCAGAGCAAGAGGGTTTTTTTTTAAACCTTCTTCAGACGGAATTAATTCCAAGGTCACTGAAAATCAAAGAGAGGAGGTGGAGACGTCCGGAGAACAGGTATGTGTCTGTCCACGGGGAACGTGGCCCGTGCAGAGATGGACTGAACCCCCCCAGACCACAGCCAGCCCTCCTCAGTCCAACTCAAGAGCCTTTTGCCCTCCTGTCACTGATTCAGCGAACTGCTGTTGTGTCCTGGTCTGGGCCTGTTCTGAGGACAACTCCCAAGGCTCTTAAGCCAGCGCCTTTCAAAACCACCTGGGCATTTCCTGCAGAAACTCTTGGAGGAAGAGCTCTCCGTGGTGAAGCCACAAGGTTGCACGAGAAGGGCTCCGGGGGAAGCGGCATTGTACAACGGGCCTGAAAGGTCTCGTGTGTCGTTGCCCTGAAGAGACGGACACAAACTCTAACAGGACCAAACGATACCAACCTTCCCTTCTGCAGCTGCAGGACTTTGTCCTTCAGCGACTCGTCCAGCTGGTCCAGGAATGGTGTGATATCAACAGGCTCCTCCACAATGGTTTCTTTGATGGGATGAAACCTGAACTCCCTCTTCTTCCCTGCAACAAAACAAGTGGAATAGTCTATTTTCCCAAGCAGCTACATCCAAGCAGCACTGGCAGCAATCTCTGTCCCAGCAGTGGGAGCTGTGTGGGGCCGCCAGGGCTGTTGGCACCCCAGGAGGAGCAGCGTGTCCCCCCCCAGTGTATGGTCCAGCCTCAGATCTCCCCTTTCACCCTTTAGAGACGTGTCCAGGCCGCAGGGAGCGGGAAGGTGGGATGGGATCCGACCGCAGGGGCTGTCCAGAGCTTCCCGTTCAGTTTCCAAACCTGATGCTCTCCCTGTCCTTCAACACGCTCCGCACACGCAGCCGGCTCCCAAGTCTCCAACGGACTCTGGGACCGAGATACCCCAACTGCTTTTCCACACCCTCATCCTCCAGGCTCATTCCACGCCACAAAAATGCACCGTGGCAGAGCCAGAAGCGCCAGGGCCAAGGCAGAAGCGCTCGCAAAGCAGCTGCCACTCAGGGATGGGACAAGGTGGGTGATCCCTTTTGTAAAAATCCTCTCTGCACGCAGCTTTTGAGCCTGTGTCCCTCTCGGGGGCCCCAAGCAGGGTGTGATGGGCCTATTGAAGCGCTGTCACGTTCTCCCCCACAATCCTGGGGCTGTGGCCCCTCCCCACCGCAGGGGTAACCCTCCAGCGTGGCAGGAAGCCCACAAGAGTCCTACCACCAAGGCCAGGAAGAGCTTGAGATGCCTCCAGCTCCAGAAGGGATTCTGGCCTTGCCCCATGGCTTCGAGAGGGAGCGAGCGTAATGAAAACCGTGTGGCTGAGCAATTAGAGGCCTGAGCTTCATTAGCAGCTGCCTGAGAACAGAGACACCCTGTTCCCAAACCAACCATCCCGTCCAGCATCTGCCACAGGGATTCCCAACCATGCAGCACAGCGGGGCTGGAGACTAGTCAGACATCGAGAGAGGACACGGGGGTGGAGAAAGTGCTACGTTTGGAGGGGTGAAGCTCTAGGGAACAACCAGGCAAGGAGGTGAAGCCCAACAGATCCGGCTTCTCTTCGAGCACAGATCTAGATCAGATCTCCTGGACCTGGCTGGCCGGGGACTGGGAAGCAGCAGAGCGTCGCTCTCAACACCTTCTCTTGCAGAAGGAAACCTGGATCTCGAGAAGGGGCCCTACCTCGAGCGCTGCTTGTGAAAAAAGGGCTTTGAGGGAACCGTGCTTATAGCTGGTGCTCTGAGAATCCTCCATCACAAAGGGAAGGTGCCCGCGAGGCAGCAGGGAAACACCGTCCGGCGCAGGGGCAAAGGCCACGTCCTTGTGATCTGGCTGCACTCCTCACCTTTGCTGTTCAAGTCATCTTCGTCATCGCTGAAGGCGGCCTCGGCATTGTCATAGCAACCGTCATCCTTTTCTGACATATGATTGTCCATCTCCATGGAAACAGGTTCCTCGATTTTGACTGCAAGAACGTACACAAAGGGGTCAGGGCAGAACAGCTCCTTGCACAGCCTCCACGGGCCCCGGCAAGGAGATAAAAGTGCTTTGAAAAGGAAAAGAAAAAAAAAAAAAAAGTAATCTGGGCAAGTGACAGACCCTGGGAAACTCAAGCTGGGGAAGGGCACTCCCAGCACCTCCACCAGCCCTACCCGGTGCCCCCTGAGCTGCCCAGCGGCCTCGGGCTTCATCCCTCACCCGGGCCAAGAGCAGAGCCCCAGCTTTGCCAGCAGAGCCCGGGAAGGACAGGGGTGGGGGGAGATGTTTTAAGATACAGAAACACTTTTCACTGCCCCACTCTGCCTGTTGGGAGTTGATTTTGTTAGTGCTTGAATTAAAGTGATGGTCTTGTTTTCTTCCCCTAACGAGCCTGTCTTTTGCCTTCATCCACTAAGGAGTGAGCGACCCCTTCCCTGTCCTTATCTCCATTCCTGAGCCTTTTGATTCATTTATTTCTCCTTCCCAGTGCTGGGAGGGAAGGGCTGGGTGAGCTGCGTGGTGCTCCGTTGCTCTCTGAGCTCAAACCAGGCTTTGGGGCAGGCGGATTTGTTGGGTAGGTGGGTCCCTTCAGCCAGGGATGCAGCAGAAAACCAGACAGGCTGGCAGGCACAGGCCTTCAGCAGCTCTCCTGCTAAATACAGGTTAGAAATGCTTCCTCTTTGTTTAACCTAATTAGGTTAATCAATTAGCCTACAGAGAAGAAAGGCTAAGTACCCCCTACGGAGCAGAAAAATGGGTGGTGTGCACCTTGGGTGTACAGCAGGGCTGAGGCGATGGGAGACCACAACCAGCCATAAATACCAGCCCCTTGAGGCCTCCTCTCCCCCCTCTGACCCTCCGAGCAGCAGCTGCTGCTGCAGGAGGGGCAGGGAAAGCCCCGTCTGCGGGGAGGCAGCAGCACTGCAGCCTCCCCCTGCCACCTACCTTCGATGGGGGGCGAGGGCGAACTGCAGAACTCCGGGAATTTCTCCCTCAACATGGCGCGGAGCTCTTTGTCCAGCTTGGGGTTGTCGAAGAGAGGGGCCAGGTGTCTGGGAGGGGAGCGGGGAGGAAAGGGAAAGGGATGAGAAAGAGGTGGGATGCGGCGCCCTGCTGCGGAGCTTCACCTCGGTGGGCGTGCGAGGGGATCTCCCTTACGCCAGGGCTTCGGTTTGTTACGGACCACAAGCCGCGAGGTCCCACGTGCCCTCCTGCGGCTCGGCCTGGGTTCCCTCGTTTGGCCACCAACGGGCCTGGAGCCCCCAGAAGACACGTGGGAAGGGGAGAAGAGGCTTCACCTCTCTGGGGGGGAACCTGGGTGATGCAGGCTGCAGCACCACCAGCAAGGCTGCTCCGTGCAGCCTGGGGACACTTCCATCCATCTGAAGCCAGCGGCTAAAGCTTCCCTCACCCACCCTGTCCCTTGCTTCAAGGAAAAGCTCTCGGAACCAGCCTCAGCACCATAAAGACACAACTACGGCTCCTTCTGTGCTTCATACACAATACAAATGCCCTCCGCAGCTCCGACAGGGCCTGGAGATCGTTTGGACTCGGCTGATGACAGCCGGGGGAAAAATTGGTGCGCGGTTGTATAAACGCAGTAAAACTCGGGGCTGTCTTACGCAAGGACTCGCTTCTCCACGATGTGGGTGAGAGAGTTGAACACGCCTTGCCGGACGTGAGCCTCCAGCGGGGGGTAGAAGTTGGGAATGATCTGAAAGCAGGAGAAAAACCCACGTTAGTGCCATCGAAGCCTGCCGTTGGGGCCTGTGTCAGCCAGAGCTGAGGCTGTCGCTCAGCTTCCCGGGTCACCCTCGGCTCAAGCACCACATCCCAGCTGCTCCTGCCCACGAGGGGCAGCAGGAGAACTCTCCGAGTGCAGCATCTCGGGGATGGTGGGTAGAAGGGGGTCCAGCCCACACCTCTGTTTTTTTCACCCCGGCAGAGCAGCCGATGCATCTCCCAGGGATGAGGAAAAGCCACAGACGTTGCCTCGTGAGCTGGGAGAAGCCCTGGGACGTGCCAGGGCCACGCTCCAAGCAGCAGCGACCGCTGCAGGGCGCCCCCCGCCGCCCCAACCCAACATCCAGCTCTGTTCACACACAGTCCTCTGCTCCTGGAGGGAGAAAAAGGACTCCTCCCCAAAATCTGGGTCATCCCAGAAACCTTCCACCTAATTCCTCTGCCAGAAGCCAGCAGCTGCTTTTGCAGCCCGGGAGCACAGGGAGCGTGCTGGGCATGAGGGAGGAAAGTGATGTAACTCGCAGCTCTTCCAGCGCTCATGCCACGGAAAGACCCCGCTTCCAAGAAACACCACCAGCCCTCCCTGGGACCAAAATTACTGGAACAGGCAAGTCTTGGCAACGCCTGCCCCAGGCTGGAGGGGCAGGAGCAGCTCGGCGTGCTGCCCGAGGAGGGCTGGCCTTTGAAAGGGGGACGGTGGGTCTGACTTGTTCCCTGCTGCAGTGAGATTCTCTTTGCCCTCAGGGGGTGACACCGGGCCAAGCAGTTCATTAGGTATTAAATGGAACGATTCAGAAGCTTTTTTTTTTTTTTTTTTTTTCCTACTAACGCTCATCCTTCTGGAAGGATTTATTTGCAGAGTTGAGAAGTCTTACATGCCTTCCCACAGTGGCGTTCCCATTAATGAATGACACATGGGCCCAGTGCTCCGACCTCCAGGAACGGTCCTGGATTTATCAAGAGGCCACGAGGACTCACCAAAGCCTCTCGAGGAGAATTATTTGGCTGAGCCTCCGCAGCAGCGTGCCTGACTGCGCTCTTGGCTCATCAGCGAGGGGAATATCCCTCCTTAATTTAGCATAGGTAAGGGGAGGTTAAAAGGGCTGCCAGCAGATACTGAGCTACTCTTGCAGGCTGTTTCGCAATCAAGAGGCTCAGGGCAGAACAGACCAGATGATGCACTGAGGAATGTGGGAAAAAAAAAAAAAAAAAAAAAGGGGAAAAA